GAGGGCGTGAAGAGCAAACCAGTTTGTTGACATTTCTACAATCTTTGCTTACATTTCTGACACCTAAACTTCAATTTTATTGATACATATGAGCAATAATTTCCCGAATAGTGGCAAACTAAAAAGCGAAGTATTCCCCACTTTCCTTTTTCTCAGGCATCGCGTGGCCCACACCGAAATGGAATATATCCAAACATTTTGAATGCTTCCCACTTTTTTATGAAAAAATCCGACAATCATTTTCTTTCTTCCTTCTTTGACACCATAGGCGTGGCCACCAGGGAAAAGGACCAAATTGGCCTTCAATGACTCCATTCCGCGAAATATACTGGTTCTAAACTATCCCGGACCCCGAGTTACAGCTGGTTCTGGGTTTTTCCATTGGAGTCCAAGAAGTTGCTATGCTTCGTTTGGTTTTACTGATTTACTTTTTTTCTAACCCCTTACGTACCATGTAATAATATTCTGCCATTTTTGAATTATTATTTTTTTTTGAGTATTGGTAATCAAACATATAGATATCGGATCTATCACTAGATTTAGAGTGGAGGATATGTTCTGCTTATCATTCATTATTCATTCCAAATTTTACACAATTCTTTTGTAAAAAGATCAATTCTCACGGAGAAAATGAGCTCCACATTCTTGCCTGATTTGTTCATTCTCTTCGACAGTTATTTTGTCGGAATAAAGCATAGGGACAAAAAGTACGATTGACCATGATTGCATCTGAAAATGTAACGAAAAGTGTGAAATTTTCACGACCGCATGACTAAATATCGATGTGAACATAAATTTGTGGGGAAAGCGCTGAAGTAGAGAGGGACAGCCAGCTCTGAGGGCTTGTAATGCTCCTTGAGAGCATTCGTTAGGGGTTTTTTTTAAACTAACCAAAAATTTTTAAACTACATTATCACCAATATCGAATTTTTGTCGAAGAACGAACCTTTGACTATTCGAGGAGATCAAAAAGTAAAAAGCCGAGCCGAAATATGCCTATATTGCTCGGGAATAGAAGACGGTATCAAAACGGCTGAGGAGATGCGCTAGTCGATAGAGTACAGAAAAGCGATGACAGTCGTTGTTACTCACAACCGCGGTGACGCTTTTTGGCTTTGTCCTTTCTATTTCAACCCCGATAATAAATTAATTACAAAAACAATCTTACCAATTCTTATAGTGTAAAGTTAAAATTTATATTCTGCCAATCCTGTTAAGGATAGCTCATTCGAAGAAGTTGTAGTTCACAAAAAGCAGGCTGATTGGGGGTATAGTCGCCAATATTGCCTAGGTCTCCCTTCTTGCATAGCTGCACAGTCTAGCAAGTCCTTGACGAAAAGGGCACATACGTCCTCTGATTGCATCAACGAATTACGTATTTGGAATACGCCCCGCATTCGACTTCCGTTCAGAATCGCAGTGGCGTACTGAGTGTGTACGTCTCTATACAATGACTTGTGGTGGCTAGCCAGTGTACAAGTCAGTGCTTTTCATTCTCCTAGACGAGCCTGGGTACAATTCACCGACCCTGCTGGGATAGGCTTGATTGTCCTGGGCCAGTATCGATCCAGGATGTTTGTATGTATGAACTGCTATTAAAAACGCTTCATGTCCAGAACATAGATATATCTCCCAATTGGAAATCCCACCGTCCAGAGAGAAACGTCATAATTTGGAGGATTTATTGAAAGGTGGATCATATCTCAGAAAACTTTTTCCTAAAAAAATCTCAGTTCACGAAGGAGTAGGGAGTTGGAAGTAATGCATTGCAAATTAAATTTTTTTGCTAAGTGGTGCTAAGTGGAGTTTTTTTACTACATCATTACATCCAAACTCACGGAGAGATACCATTCAGAGGTACGCGATAAAGACTGAGAGCTGTCAAAACAAAGGAAAAAGGCAAGACATTGAGGAATTGGGCGAGTCCAACTTAAAACAAGTAATTAATCTGTCAAACTGCTTCGGCATGTTTGTTATCTTTTTCCAAATAAAATTCATGACGACCATTTCAATGAAACTATTGCCTCTGAACCTGTTATGATCTTTTAAATGGGCCTAATGCACCACAACATAACATGGGTAAACTGTAACAGTGAAAGTGAAAGTACACTCGTGACGAATAAAGTTCACTTTGATCAAACTTCCAAGAAGGCAAAAATGTGCTTATCTCAAGCTTTGGGTTATAATCGAATTCAACAACTCATTTTCGTTGACGGGACCCGATTACAAGTCCCATCCTCCTCGGCCCCATTCCTAAAAGAACCGTTCACAACCATCGAAGTACCCTTTAAAAGCGGATGTTCAGGTGGAGAGTAGAGCATAAAGAAAAAAAACGACGAGAAACCTGCCCCAACTCCCTATAGATAACGCTTCTTCAAAGTAAAGGAACAGAAGTTGCACGAGTTTACCATGACAGAGTTGTTGTAAGAGGTTTATTCGGACGAGATTTCAGTTGTTGCGATTGCGTCAACAGCTGACTACATCGAGCCAAAACTTGTAGAACTTTTATACTGTCATATACATGTACTATGTACGGCCGGCCGTATATGGTATATGGGGAGGAGGGAGGAAGGGTGGCCACTGATTTCTCCTAGGAGAATGTCTCAGGTAACATTTTTATCGTGAACTGTGCCCAATTCACTGCAAAGTCTTCAAAGGTGGTGTAATGGATGAGTAGCGCCCGGAAGTATAAATCTGAGCTCATATCCACGACAGAAATCATTTTATTTACACCTCTGCAGAATTCTGAACACGATTCCATCGCGAACTACGATGATAATGAGTAGTTAGCAAAAGAGAACAAATCAGAGTGGAGTAAAGCATGACTATTGGAAAGGAATGTGGAGACACAACATTCGGAACGAAAAGGGAAAAGAGAACTGAAGTTCTACACAGAAACAATAAAAATCCAATTAACCTTTTTACTAATTACACCCTTTGCCGGGACCGATTCAAATGTCATTTTACATTTGGTTCCAACTAATTGTGATATATTAATTGGAAGCATGAAAACCTGCCTTTGTCAGACTGTAACAAACGTGACGTCATTTATAAAGTGGCTACATTCAGAATTGGCGCATTGCCGACGTCCATTGGCTGCACCCAGCGCAGACATGGTCAGACTAGTGATATCGATCCACCACAAGCCGATGCCTACGGGCGTCGCGCGTCAATACCGACGCAAACCATGAATGGAGCCGGCCGCAGTAAAAAAATGGTGATCGGCATCATTCAAAAGATAGTATAGTAAAAAAACCCTACATATGGCAAAGACGGCAGCGTTTTACCAAAATTAAGATGAAAATCTTGGTGTTTTATTAGGAATATGAAGAAATGAGAGGTTCTCGTCATAGTGGAAGTGACGATTCTGATTCTTAGGAGTTTTATTGCGTAATCACTAGAAGTCAAGGGTTTTCATTAAATAGTCGTAAAACTCCCTTTGAATTGAACTATACAACCAAAACTCGAACCATTTGAACTTTGGAAAACACTCTTAACGCCTCTAAAACTCCCATATGGGAATCTATGCCAAGCCAGAGAACAAAAACTCAGTTGAAGTGGATTCCATTCCGAAAACAACGTTCTGGAAACGTGACTCGTTATAGGGAAAATTGATTACATGAAAGAAATCTGTTAGGCAAAGTGATGTTTTATACGGCGATCATCATTTCCAGTGGAACTGCCGTTAGATGGGCAAAATTTCCAGAGCAATTACAGAATACTGAAAGGAAATGTGAGGTAACAAATTCGGAAAAGAACTGTTTTAGTAGAAAACTGTACCGAAACTTTTATGGATTTTCAGTTTTTTTGCCGGGTATATAAGAGTATGATGGATGGGTTGAAGGGTCGGCTACTCAACAGTTGAAGTAGCATCAGTAGTTTTTTCGCCTATCACCATCATCGCCCCGAACTTGACGGTATGACTTTTGCCCTTCGATAAAAAGGCAAAACTTGTGAAAAACTAGATCGGCGTATAATTTTTTTTCTGTGGATCGGAAAATTACTTGCAAATTCGGCTCGGGTTGGAAATCATTAAAGAACATTCCAATGTTTCGTAGCTCATTTTCAGAGGCCTCACAGGGGTTATGATTACCCTAGCGGCTTACTTTACCTACCTACAGATGGGTAGAATAAAAATGTTGTCAGATTCTGGAAAAATTATGCAACTACTAAATAATTGCCATTGGGAAAACGTTTGAAAGAGATAATAGTTCAAATCCAGTTTGATAGTCAACTCAAATTAATCATCAGATCTGAACATCCCGAGCTAATCCTGGGCGGTCAATTGGGAACCTAGGCAACCTAAACTCTTTTTGGTATGGGTTTATTCAAATTGCAGTAACCAAGTGAAGGAAGTTGCTGTCAGAGAAGAAACTTATCATGAACTAGTTCTACACAATGCAGTCCTCTAAAGATATATATCAAGTATTCGGGGCTATTCCCTGTCAGGTACATACCCGGGCCAAATCTTTACCAGTGGGATGTCTATGTCTATGGGGATATCTAAGAGGTATAAAAGTAACAGCCAACTAAATGTAAGTTTAGTTGTGGCACCAGCCGCCTTGGCTCATAAATACTGAATATTATATAGCAGAAAGTGAGAAATATACACTTCAGAGAGCAAATTATGACCGGTTTCCCATAATAATGACCTCCCATGACTTCGTCATCACCCATCCTCTATCTATGGAGTTCTACAAAATACTTTTTAAAACAAATTTGCTTACCTCAGATAGTTCATTGTATAATTGAATTCTCAACATTTAATATGTTATGAGGTTGAAAACCGGCTCAAATTACAGTTCGATGAAAGTGTTTTTTCTATTCTGTCCAATTTCTGACAGGTTTGCTGGTAATTACATTAAATACAAAAACGGTCATGATGTAGTGGTTTTTCTGATTGCTTGGTAAACGTGTAAGAGAGTTTCAGCATTTTTCTCAAATATTAGAATGGCTTCTTGGAATTCCCTACATACTATGCATATAATTAATTTCTGCTACCATCTCGCTGACTTGGAAGTAAGGTTGAACTCTTTGGGCGTTGCTCAATCTGACAAGGGAAGGATCCCAACTCGAAGTGGCCATTTGAAATGAGACCTATACTGCTAGGCGTATTTTTTGACGCTGATTTCAAATCTGCTTTCAAAATCTGCCAAACGATTCTCTGAACGAAGTTATGGAGGTGGTCTCCGGAGAGCGCTCAACATAGGAAACCACAAAAGCCATGGTCGCTGGAAGCCCAGCAGTGGCGGCTTGGAGTGGAGGTAAGCGTGACGCTTCATAGGTAC